TTTGGAAACCACACATATTACAAGGAATAAATATCCAAAATATGTACATAAGGGACTCATACAACTCAATAGCAAAAAAAAAAATATTCACTTTTAAAATGTGCAAAGGACTTTTTTCACAAAAGACATACGAATGGCCAATAGGAACATGAAAAAGTGTTCAATATACTAATTATGAGAGAAATACAAATCAAAACCACAATATGATATCACTTTACACCTGTTAGAATGGCTATTATCAAAAAGACAAGAGGTAACAAGTGCTAGTGAAGTTGAAGAGCAAAAGAAACCTTCGTGCACTGTTAGTGGGAATGTAAACTGGTACAGCCACTGTGGGGAACAGTATGGACCTTCTCAACCCCACTGTGGGGAAATAAAATCAGGATGTTGAAGAGGTACCTGTACTCTCATGTTCATTACAGCAGTGTTCATAATAACGAAGACAATACAGAAACAACCTAGTCACTGGCTAGGAACAAATGAATAAAGAAAATGTAGTATTGAGATGATTATATATATATTTTCTCAACCACAAAAAAGGAGGTAATCCTGCCATTTGCAATAACACGGATAAACCTTGAGGGCATCATGCTAAGTGACATAAGTTAATAGAGAAAGACAGATACTGAATGATACCATTTATGTGTAGAATCTGAAAAAGGCAAACTCATAGAAACAGTGAACAGAATGGTGGTTGCCAAAGCCTAGAGGGTGAGGGAAATGGGGAGATGTTGGTTAAAGGTATAAACTTCCACTTTACAATGACTAAGTTCTCGGGAATCTGATGTACAGCATTGTAACTATAGTCAACAATGTTTTATACTATAAGTTGCTAGGAAAGTAGATTTCAAATGTTCTCACCACACAATATGGTTATCATATGAGATAGCAGAGGGATTAATCAACCCTATTGTGGTAATCACTTCACAATATACAGTGTAAGAAATCGTCATGTTGTACTCCTTAAACTTATACAATATTATATGTCAATTATATCTAAATAGAACTGAAAAAATAAATACTTATAAACAAAAAATTTTTTTCTTGTACAGTAGTTCCCCCTTATCCATGGGCAATGTGTTCCAACTCACCCAGTGAATGCCTAAAACAAAACTCTATATAAATTATGTTTTTCCTGTATATACCTATGATGAAGTTTAATTTATCAATTAGGCACAGAGGTTAATAACAAGTTATAAAATAGAACAATTATAACAATATCCTGTAATAAAAGCTATTTTAATACAGTCCCTCTACTTCTCTCTTTCTCTCTCTTTCACAATATCTTTTGGGTTATTTCTTTCTGAAATTTTCAATTTAATATTTTTAGACCATAGTTGACCACACATAACTAAAACTGTGGACAAGAGGGGCTACTGTACCTATTACATCATACCAGTTCTCTCATTAACTAGGAGATTAAATAAGAACTTTGACATGTTTTTTTTAAGGGGGGACTATGAAAACAGCCCAGGCCATCACTGAAAAGAGATTCAATATAACTGATATTTTTAAGTGTTAAACAACTTTTTTTAACTTTTAGAAATAAGCTAGGAACAAACCCAAAATAATCATTGTTACAGCAGAATTTTAAAATGTTTGACTTTGACAGTATGAAAAACAGTGCAGTTACCCCAGTTTGGCATGTGGAAGTGTGTAGGACAGGAGAAAGGAAGAGCAGAGTTGTCAATACTGTCATCTTTCAAGAACTCCATACTAAATGGATGAAGACACAAAAATAACTGCATGTAAATTACAACAGTAACTGAAAAAAGGATGATGTAAAGCAGAGGTGCCAAACTCATTTTCACTGGGGACCACATCAGCCTCCCCATCACCTTAGAGGACTGAATGTAATTTCAACTCCTCAACAGTTAAGAGGTAGTTACATTCATACAGTCCTAAAATTATTTTGGCCCTTTGAAGGCAACCACGAGGCTAATGGGGTCCCCAGTGAAAATGAGCTTGACACCCTTGAATTTTAAGGAGACTCGTGTTTTAAAGCAGGGTTTTAGAAATTGGACTATTTATTATACACTCAGATAAAGATCCTTATCAAAATCTCCAGGGAATTCTGAAGCTGCAAGAGCCCTTCAGAGTTGGCCCAAATTAGGGTGAGGTCCGGGACCTCTGTAGCCCCACACTGAGCAGTCATGGAGGAGAGTGCCCCTGGGAAGTGGGGTGAAATTGGGTGAGGCAGCTCTCCTCACCGAAGGCAATTCTGGAGGAGGCCTAAGGGTTGAGGAGTGTCAGCCAGCAGCCAAGTGTGGATGGAAGAAAACAAAGAAATAAATGCTTTTAGAAATTCATCATCTTTTAACTTCCATTAACTCAGTTGGCTCACCTTATTAACTTATGAGCTCTCTTTCTTAAGTTAAACATTCCAAAATAATCAGGAAGGATATGCTGCAGTATGATATTAACCTGCAGTAAACATTAAATCTCAGGGTTTAACTCAATAAGTGAGACTCAATTCTACAGATATTCAAGAGACTCAGGTAATTAGTCTCCAACATCTTATACACCTTCACCTCAATAATAGCCTTCAGACTTGCAGTTGTCTGCAAGAAAATATGAAGCAGACAGAGCTTACACCCACTTTTAAGTTCTGTTGGCTGGTACTAGTCACGTGACCCCAACCTAACCAGAGGAATCTGAGAAATGTGCACAAGCTTCTGAAATATTGATGAGCACACTGTCCCATATGAACAGATATGATGCAGGGAAGAGCCAAAGGCTAAATACTAATAGGCTTCCTACTGGTACACCTACACACTATCTCCGAGATACATGCCTACTAAGACATTGCCTACTCAGCACTTTTTTGTTAAAAAACTTGTTTATAAAGAATGTATTTGTTGTTTTGGTTAAATTATCAGCTAAAGATTATATTACCCAATGAAATATGAGTGCAAAAAAAAATAATTGTCTCTACAACACTGTCACTGAAAGGGAAGACTCTGACCCTCTTATTAAAAAGACTCTTCCAGCCTGGGTGCCAGTGTGACCACATGGAACTATAAGAATGTCCCATAATATAGTCTGTCACTTCCTCTCATAATAGGGCTTATGTTTCAACTAGAAAAGTCAGGTCTCAATGTCTCCCTAAGCTCTGGGTCTGGTTCAGTATCCAGCCCTGCCTTTTGTCTTTGCAGGCTCAAAAGAAAGTTCAGAAGACAATGGGCCCAAGAATGCCTAGTTCTCCATTCTCACTTCATCCAGGAGAGAGAAGGGGCTTCCATTGGCTCCTCAGGCCCAATGAGTGGGTGAGAGAGCAGAGAAGAGGAGGTGCCTGCTCCTCAATGACATGGCCTCCCATGCCCTGAAGATAAGCTCCCAGAGACTGAGATGGAGACCAGCTTTCAGTGCTGGGCTCACGTCATGGGAGCTTCAGCGTGTAGCAACCTCCTTGACCCTGGAAAGAGAACATCATTAGGAGTCAACAGGCCACTGTCCACTGGCAAGGAAAGCTCTATCCTCTGAGAATTCTAGCTCAGCAGTGCCACCAGGTGACGACTGTGCAGGAGACAAGGGATGAGATGAGTGATAAGTGTGAGTCAGCATCACCGACAATGTGCACTAGAAGCAGAGGAAACTGCCCTTTTATCTCCTGGGGTTCACAGGAAACAAACTGCCCCTTATGCCACCCCACTGTCTTGGGGGTTGGAGTCATTTACAGCATCACTAAGATCTGGAGGGTCCAATCCATGTTCCTACTAAGGGGGGAGAATGAACATAGGGCTGACTATCTGCGTCCCATGTATTTACATGATGATGTTTTTAAGGGGTGTGCATGTTACTCAGACGTGGTCAATCATAATCCTTCCTAAAATTGTTCAAAGTTTGGTAGACATTCTAGAAACACAACAGAGACAGACACACACATACACAGAAACAAAGATAAGTTGTGAGGTGATGAGAGAAATGCAGAAAATAGAGAGGGATGTGAAAAGAACCACAGAAAGGTCAAAAGATGCGGGGTAAATAGTGACAAAGGTGAAGCTAGAGAAAAACAGGGAGACAGAGGTGCAATGAAAGAGTGAGAGACACAGAGATGCAGGGACAGAGAGATACAATAAAAAATATGCAGGAACAAAGAGATAAAGTGGCACAGACAGAGATATAACAGGAGGAAAAGAGACGAAGACCTCACTGAATATCTGGGTCTACTCTCTTCTGAAATCACCTTGGCCCCAGGACTCCTTGCAACATGGACAAAACTAAATTTCAGATGGGTTTCAATCATTTAGAACCCCCAAAATATTGCTTTTATTGCTGGTTATACTTTTCCAAAACTAAAAATTGACTTTAACCAATGTGAGTTGCCAAGATATATTTGAAACATCAGTTTGGATCTTTGTGACACCGGAGGCCGCCCAATCTGTGCCCAGGTAATTCCACTCTGCTGACGGACACACCTCTGACAGAGCTGGAAGAGGGGCCGGCACATCCTAGGCCACTGCCCTGAGCGTCAGTGCCAAAGAGCCAGGAAGGATGATTGAATTGATTTCTATCTCCTCTGCCCATATTTTTTGTTTGTCCACTTATTTTGTTTTTATATGCCACATATAAATGGATCACAAGGTATTTTTTGCTCTCTGTGTGACATGTTTCACTAGGGATAATACCCTCTAGACAAACCACATGCAAATGACAAGATTTTACTACTTTTTATTCTGAAAATACTCCTCTGTGTGTGTGTGTGATAGTCCATTTTTTTCTACCCATTCATCTAATGATGGATATCTAAGGAGTATCGATATCTTGGCTGTTATTAGTATTGCTGCAATGAACATAGGGTACATATAGATTTTACTATTAGTGGTTTTGTTTTCGTGAGATACATACCCAGAAATGGAATTATTAGATCATATGGCAGCTTAATTTATAATTTTTGAGGAATCTGTGGACTGTTTCCCATTAGTGGCTGCACTAATTTACAACCCTACCAACAGTGTATGGCGATTCTCTTTTCTCCACATCCTCACAAGCACTTGTCCTAAAGTTTTAAAATTTGTTCTTATATTTTATTGTTTATTTTATTACAGTTTTTCCCCTCCTCTGCTCACTTTTCACATGGCTCCCCAAGGTGCCTCCAGTCTCCCTCAAGGAACAAAATATGTTCCTTTCATTCTGCAGTAGCTTCCCTCCTCCCTCCAGCTAAGAAGTCTCGGTATACAGACAACACATAACATGTTTAATTATGATAAAAGCTCTACAGTCAGGTAAAGGCTTTAACATGCTTCTCCTGAACAGTCTGTGGGAGGAAATAGAAACAACAACAAAAAAAGCCTCAGGACTTTGAGTAGGTTCGGCCGGCAGCCCAGAGGCACAGACCCCAGGGTCACAGGAGCGACCCAGCAACTGTGTGGGAGTCGCTGTAGGACACTGATCTCAGAGGGGGACGGGCTGACAGGCAGCGGGAGTTCTGGGCAGGGGCAAGCAGGCATTGCAGAAGGAACAGCCAATCCCAGTCAAAGTATCCTCAGGAGTCAGCTCAGGAGCCCTGTGAAGGAGAGAGTGACCGGCACCCTGAGCACATTCCCTCTCCCCTCCCCTCAGGGTCCCTGCAGCATCAGAGGAAGCTGAGGTCTGGGGCACAGGGTCATCACCGCCCCCAGTGTCTGTGTGAAGGTGAAACCAACGGAAAGGACATGCCCTTCGGCTCCACACAGACGTGCAGAAAGCAGGGGAACAGCTGCCATTCCTTGGGGGTGGGGATATTTGAGCACTTCAGTCTTTTTAAGCAAATTTAATAACTAACCTTCCTTCTACCATTAGTAGCCTCTTGCAGTCACTTATAAATGCCCCCAGGCAGTAACCACCAACATGGGGCACAAAGTGGGCATCGTCCGGGTGTCTAACACCCAAGATGTGATTCTGGCTCCAAGTTTCACAGAAAGACGCCACCCGAGTTAAGCCCTGGTTCTGCCTAACAAACCCCGGGGCCTCTTTCAGAAACTGAGTGAACCTCTCCCCTGACTGTCGATCCTGTGACAGGGAATAAACCATGCGCCTGTCCTCACCCCACACACACACCCTCCCCCCGCACCACTGAGTCAGAGCAGAAACAGTACCTGCTGGTGGAGGCCCGTGAGATCCTACAAAAGGAAGTTACACAAAGAAAGGTCTCATTACACAAGCAACCAGTGTCCCACCCTCCCAAAGGGAAATGAGATGAACGACTAATTCGAAATTTTATTTTCTCCCTACCTATTGGCCACAAGGCCATAGCTGTCACAAGCTAAAATCCCCAAATGAATGAACGTCACTGGAAGGAAGGGAGGGCAATGCTCTGAGGAAAGGGGCCAGTGAGGCAATGATGAACTCTACGTTCTAAGACACACACCACCAGTCCTGTCTGTGGCAGGGCTGCCTTTCGACCAGTGGAATCAGAGTCCAAAGCCTCCCCTAGGCTGTTCTGTCTCCTCCCACCACCAGCTGAGCCACCTTCCTTCCATGTCAGGAGGTAAGACACCTAGAAGCAGGGACCTTCCTCAAGAGAGGGTCTCAGTCACAGCTCATCTGCCCCCCTTCCCCAGAGTTCCTTACCCTTCTGTTTCCTCTGGCGAATGAAAAGGCCCAGGAAGATCAGCCCCAGCACGAAGCCCCCGACGCCACTCAGCATCTTGCTCTGGGCAGACTCAGACTGCGCCCCTGGGTAGCAGAGTCTGAGGTCAACATTTGTTTCCACACCCACTGTGGCCCTTTGGGAAACCTAAAGTCCAGCCTGAGGTACAGAAGGTGGAGGTACCAGGGGAAACCTAGTTCTCCATTCTGACCACCCCTAGGGGAGGGACCAGCCAATAAATCCTTGGACACCACAGGTGGGTGAGAGAGGGGGGGAAGCAGATCCCTGCTCTCTGAGACACATCCTTAACCTTGGACACTGAGACCCAGTCACCAGCTGCAAGAGTCAACCCTTCAGAGCTCTCAGGGCTGCGCTCTGGGACCAAGGTGTGCAGAGTGGCCTCCCTAGTGTCTGGAAAGACCAGGAATCTTCTGGTGCTAGGCCATGGCTCTCCCATCCTACGATGTCCAGCTCAGCAGTGACATCAGGGACAGGGGATGAGATGAGATGGGCAGGGGAAGCTCTGTTTGCTCTCTGTCCTGTGGGCCCACAGTGAAAGGAGGCAAAGTGTCCCTTACTCCACTCCACTGTGATGGGGCTCTGGCGGCTGGGGTGCTCCACGTGGCAGGTGTAGACATCTCCTCGCTGGGGGGTCATTTCCAGCATCACGAGGATCTGGAAGGTCCAGTCCCCATTCCTAATGAGGGGGGTGGACACAATGCCGGCTGTCTCTTCTTGGTTGTTCCGGAACCACCGAACTTTGACCTGGCCTGGATAGAAATCTGTCACCGAGCAGACCAGCATGTTGTGGTGGTTCAGAGCCTCCGTCTTGGACAGGGAGACGGTCACTGTAGGTTCCACTGAGGGGAGAACAGGCCGGAAGAGACAACAGGCAGGGTCTCAGGCAAAGAAACCTGAAACCATTTTTATTCAACAATTTAATGACGTCAATTTATTTACTTCAAAACTCCAGCTCTGTTGCACCATTTGCTGAGCTTTTCTAAGAAATTACATCCTGCCTTACACCACTGAAGGTGGTTTTGGTTTTTCAGAAACAATTTCTTCCTCAGACTTTGCACTTACAAATTCTAAATCAAGGTCCCAGTCAAGAAGAGTTTAGTTTAATGCATTAAGCAAAATAGCACAAAATCATTAATAAAGTCAATTTTTAAGGCTCTACTTACCATCTATTTTCTATTGAGTGGATGGCTGCTAAGAACATTTATTCATTAGTCTCACAAAGGTTTTCTGAGCTCGCACCGAGCTAGTTGGCGTGTCAGACACACAAGGACAAGTGACAGTCCCTACTGGGAGGAGGCCCAGGATTAGGGGCAGTCGCTTAGGAAATCAGAATTCAGATGAATAATAATTTGAGACCAAAAAGTCAAAACATAATACGACGACTGCGATCTTTTAGCCCGTGTGCACCGGCCGACGGCAGCTGCGAGGTCGGCTCATCCGGAGACGGGCCCCGCCAGGGCCGGGGGCGGCCGGACTTGGGGGCACCGGGCACCGCTCCTGATCCGCCGGGTCCCCGCGGCCCGGCTCCGCCCCACAGGCCACGCGAGCGCGACGCTCACCTCGCTGGTGCGAGACCCTGGCCTCGTCCATCGGGTAGTTGTGTCTGCACACCGTGTCCAGCTCGGCCCGCGTCCGCTCCATGAAGTCCTTGTCCCGGTTCCACTTCTCGGCGTCCGGCCGCCCCAGCTCGGTCACCGCGCGGAACTGCCCCACGTCGCTGTCGAAGCGCACGATCTCCTCCCCGTTGTAGATTTCTCTGCGCAGGTACCGCACCCGCTGCGTCCCGTTGGTGAAATGACACTCAGCCTTAGGCTGGTGCACGAAGTCCCCTGCGGGAACCGCCCCGGTCAGCCCGCCCACCCGGGACCCTCCGGGGCCCCGAAGGAACGGCCGCGCGTGGGGAGCGGACGGCGCTGCGACCTGCGGCCCCGCCTGAGCCGGACACCCGGGCGACCTCACCTCCACCCCCGTCCTCAGAGAAGCGGGGCGTTGTCACGGGAAACCCCACTTTCCTTAGAGCCCCGGGGGCCTCAGAGACCAGTGCCCACACATGCAGGCGCGTGCAAGGGAAGCAGTGACGGAAAGGTCTGGAATTGAGCCTGTTCTCGTCCCGACAGGCATCTTTCCGGGCCCCTGAAAGTGCCTCCCTCCCCCTGCACCGCCGCTGCAAGGGGCAGACACCTCCGCACTCTTAGAAAGTAACATTGATTTGCATAGCTAAATTTTGCATGCTCTCTGATTTGCATGCTCTCTGATAGCTAATGATATTGAGCATCTCTTCATGTGTCTCTGAATGTTCTGTATGTCCTCCTTGGAGAATTGTTTGTTCAAGTCCTTTTCCCATTTTCTAATTGGGTTGGGTGTCTTCTTAGAGTGGAGTCGTGTAAGTTCTTTGTATATTTTAGAGATTAAACCTTTGTCTGAGGTATCATTGGCAAATATGTTTTCCCATACAGTTGGTTGTCTTGCTAATTTAATACTGTTTTCTTTAGCCATGCAGAAGCTTTTTATTTTGATGAGATCCCATTTGTTTATTCTTTCCTTTACATTCCTTGCTCTAGGGGACATATCAGTAAAGAAGTTGCTGCGTGAAATATCTGAGATTTTCTTGCCAATGTTCTCCTCTAGGACTTTAATGGTGTTATGTACTTGAAAAATAACTAAATAAAATTTAAAAAAAAAAAAAAAGTAACATTGATTCGTGCAAAGAGCACGGGCTTCCAATTACGTAAATTAGACTCCAGTTAAACGGTGCCAATTCCCCGCTTGGCCAGGTTACCTAGAGCGGCTGTAGCATAACTGCAGTTGTGTACAAGGAAGATGGTGATACCTACACAGGGGGTGCTGGGAAGACTGACGGAATTTACGTGAAGATGGAGTCCTGGGTCTGAAACTAATGGTTTCTCTCTGTGTTCTATTCCCCTCTTCACATTCTCCTTTCTCTTAAATTCAGTCCACCATCAACACGAGACTCTGAATCACTCCACTTACTATTTGACCCTAAATCAGTGGACCGGGAGTTGAGACTCCCTCTCTGTCGTTGCCGAGTCAGCCAGCTGCACTCAGGTCCCCAGAGGTCACCTCCAGAGCCCTCCTCTGGGACTCGGGGCTGTGGGGGCCTTTCCCTCAAATCTGAGACCAGAGACCCCTGCTGCCACATTTCCCCAACTCAGGATCCCTTAGTACTGGGATGGCCAAAAAGTCCCTATGGTTCTTTCCATGAAATAAAAGACATTTTTCATTTCACCAATAACTATTGATTTGGATATTTTGAGTGTGTCAGCTATCTCCTGCCATTGGCTGCTAGTGGGTAGAGGGCATTGGTGCTGCTAACCATCTTCCCATGCATAAGACGGCCCCACAGCAAAGAATTATTTGGCCGAAATGTCAATAGTACCCAGAAACTTCTCAAACCACTTTTGACATGTTTGATCAGTCACAGCACATTCTCCATACACTTTATAAATCTTTTTTTGCATTTCAGTTATGTTTTTACCTTTCTTCAAATAATAAAACATAATATACCAAAAATGTTCCATATGTTCTTCTATCTGCAATATTAAAATGGATGTACAAAAATTCACCAATTAAAAATTTTTAAATGCATGCTGATATGACAGTGTCACAATACAATCTAACAAAATTCTTTTGAAACAAGTAAAAGACAACTAAGCAGTACCAGAGTCATCATAAGGGAAAAAACTAAACAAACTTTTGGTCACCGCAATATTTAGTCCAGACAAGACCTTGGGGGACCCTGAAAGGACAAATCCTGTTGTGTCTTCTTTGGAGAAATTCTTACCTTCAAAAATAACCCCTTTTCCTATCACTGGTAGCGGATGCACACCAACTCCTCCCTCCCATTATAACATCCCCAGGCTTGAGCTGGTGGATGGCCATTGTCCTCATTTTCACATTCAAAGGTGAAAGAGAGAATGTAACATAGCTATCTTTCCTGAAGAGAGGAAATGAGTGATAAAAGGTTGTATTCTCAGGTCATAGTCAACCCACACCCCAGCCCAAGGGTCCCTCAGAGCCTGGTCCCCAGGCTGGTGGCTCTGGGGAGCAGCTGCTCTCAAGTGGAGAGTCTGCCCTCAGTCACCGGAGCACTCAGCACCACCAGCATCACCATCGCAGCTGCTGTCCAGAGGCCTCTGAGGATCCGCGGAGCCATTTTCCCAGACAAAACTGAGAACAAAGGAAAAACTAATGGTAGTGAACACAGCTCCTCCTGATGACTCTGAGGTAGACTTCAGAGAATAAAAACCTGTGAAAGTGTCCATGCAAGGTGGGATTGGAGGGTCCCCAGGAAAGGAACCAATCAGCACTGCAGCTGAAGGCCCTTATCTGTCTCTGGGCAGATTTTTTTTTTTAATGAAGCTTCTTTACCCAATGCCTGGAACCAAGTCTTCATCAAACTGCACTCAAGATTTTCTCTGTTATAGAAGCTCTAAGATTGAATGCCTTAGGGGTTTACAGAACCAAAAGAGAAAAATGACTCAAGTAGACATCTTTGTGATATTTAGTTAAAACCTATAGTTCTTATACTTGAGTTTTTTAGTGGGGCAAAGAAAGTGGGGATCATAGAGGAGAGAAAATTATTGCCACGGAGATATTCCCTTCTATTACCTTAAACACTCCAGGGGCCTTAATTTGTGGTGGGAAGAGCGGAGCTCCGAGAGGAAGCGGTGCGGGGCCGCAGCTCTACCTCAGATGCACTTCATGAGAGTCAGCAAATTACTGCTCAACCTCTTTTTGCCTTGGGCTTCTCTGGAAAATGTGGATCATGTTTCATGCATTTTACATGTATAGCTTCTTACATACAAACTTACCAGTAACATCACTGGTTAATGTCACAGTGTCTCTCTCTCCTGTCATGTTAACTGTTAGTAATGTCACAAACAAACGACACCCAGCCCTGCTGGCAAGTGATTCTTCATAATGAAATAATTTATTGCATTTATGCTCTTTGAATGAAAGTATTCGAAAGTTAAGTTAGTTTTTCTCTTTTTTTTGGACGGAAAAGGGCATTGTTGGCATGTTTGTTTGCTTGTTCTTGATGCGGCCTATTGCAAGCTCTTAAAACTCTCCACATGAGGTTTTCTCAGCCTGCAGGTGGAGCAGGCCACAAGGGCTGGGGGGTTCACGGTCCTGGGAGTATATCTGTTGGCCAATGAAAGGTGGGAATCAGGTGATAATACCCCTGCTCTGTCACTTATCAAAGGGGATAACTCTGAGGTGGGTTCTACATTGAAGTTGATTTTTCTCTTAGAAGCACGTCAGCTGCTTAAATCCTCCCTGAACCATGAAACAGGTTCATCAGATGTCAGCAAAGGCACAATCCACAACCATTCTCAACGTTCAGACACAGTCACCTTCGGTTTCCAGAGCAGGGAGCAAAAAGATGTGGAGAAGCATTCTCAACTCAAGAATGAGGGTAGAAGCATAAAGGCCGAACATCCATCCAACTCACACCTGGAATAGGGTTTGGGGACAAGAAAGAATGGTCAGAGAAAGTACTTGAAGGTACCTTAGTTTCTTCAACCTTCACCTCAGGGTCCCTCAGAATAACAGAAGCCTCTGGTCCATTCCCCCGCCACGCCCCTCCCTGGTCCTAAAGGGAAAATTCGTCACTTCTGTTCTGGGGCTCTGCAGTGGAGGCTGCGTCACACCTGGGTATTCCCTGTCTCACTGGGCTCTTCACACAGACTTCTCTACTAGCAACAAAAGTGTCTCCTTAGACTCCTTTTTCTGATTGGCTGAAATCTCATCTGAAAGGCCCTGGTTTGGACATCTTCCAGCTGCTTGTCCTGACCCCGTCAGTGTTCTCTACATTTTCTAGAGTTCCCTAGACTGTCATTGTCCTGGCTACATTCTTCGGTGCAGCCACTGCTGGCCTGGTCTGAGAGGAAGGCCACTCAGACAGACATCCCCGCTCCTAGCACCTCACCTGAATCACCTCACTGGCACAAAGGCAGGGATCTTTGGAGGAGGGCAGTGTGTGCCCATGTGGGTAGACAATGGAATAAAGAAACAGTCATGAGCATGAGTGAAGGTACAGTGCTGAGACTCCCCCAGGGGACATCCTCTGTTCCCTCAGTGGAAGATTCAAGGTGTGGACTCCTTTTTTGTGGAATCCAGGGAGGAATCATCTTCCCTGGTCAGCATTCCTTGGAATCTGTGTGTGGTCAGTGCATTAACCATGAACATAATAATTACTTTGTCACCTGAATCGCCAACCAGGACCCCATTTTCCATTCACTTCAGTAATCAAGAAACATTGCTATTTTAAAGGATTCTGTGACCTCTTTAATGTCCATGGTAATGTAATTAGAAATACTGGTCCCAGATTATTATTTCCTTTTATTAAAAATTTAGCAAGCATTTATCCCGACATTTTTCTAAATCTTTAAAAAGCTACTCACATATGTTCCCGTGTGATCCACCAGGTAACCAGTCAGATGAAGTCTCCATGACTACTCATATAAAGTCGGTCCTTTCTCTTTACACAAAATTATCACTTTAGATAATCTGAAAAAGAGTCAAATTAGTAGCACAGTGACCGAGGATAAAATATGTTAGCTCTGAGAGACTTCATTTTGCCTCACCTGTAGAAAGCATGCACACCTCACAGGACACAGTCAGGACCCGGCACAATGTGGAAAACTCTGCAACCTGTGCTAAGCTTCATACATGTGAGTTCTAATATAATAGTAGTGAGTTCGTCGGGGTTTTTTTAATATCATTGATAAAGACAGCAAAGTATTCTTGTTATTTTACATCTCTGTCCACATAATGGAATTACTATGATTTTGAGCCCCTACCCCTTACCCCTCATTACAGAGGGAAAGTGGGGGAAGCACATCAGATGTGTTTGATCACGAACCCCTGCCTTTCCTTCTCTGTAGTGATAAGAGTATCCCTGCACAGAACTGCCACTCAGTTATAATTTCAGATCTCAGAACATGGTCCTCCTTTCAGTGAGCTCACAA